ATTTTTTCAAGCTACCCACAGGCTTATAACTGTGGCATTAAGATTAGCAAATTTTCTGTTTTGTTTTTGTTTTTTTTTCGATATCCCTTTACCCTCTTTTCTTTCGTTTTTTGTATTCTTTTATCGCAGTCCCCTATATCTCTGTGTTTTTTTTTTAGTTTGTTTATTTTTTCTGATTTTGCTTCTTGATGAGTGGATAGCCGCCAGCTGATAAATAACAGGAAAAAAGTTCTTAGTGAGTTAAGGACCCTGAGGGAGGCCAAGAGCTACTGAGGCAGGTCACACCTGGTGTATAAAATCACGTGGGTGAGTTCTTCATTTGGTTGGATCTACTTTAGTTAGAGATAAATTACTTGTAATTTTGAATAACTTGATTCCAAATAAATAAGAGCAGGATAGCCAAATTAGGAAAAAAAAATTTTAATGTCTATCATAGAATATTAATTAGATAATTTAATTTTAACTTACTTGTGACCAATCAAAATCTTGTAATTGGTTTTTTTGCTGAATTATTTTTTTTTACTCGCATATCGTTTCTTTTATGAATTTCAGCAACATTACGATTCCGTTTATCTTCTCTTTGTTTCCAAATTTTGCCAATATTTAGTAAATCTTGGTCTGAAAAACTCGAAATTTCCCCTGCTTGTCACAAAATTTGCAATATTTTCAGAAAACCATTATTGGTATGAATTACTGCTAATGCATAGCGAGTTCTATAAGATTTTGGATAATCCTGTTTTTTGTCTGTATAATTTAACTTTATTCTATTTACAGATTCATTTTGACTAGTATGCATTTTTGTGATTAAACTTTGGTGAGGAGCTAATTGAGTAATTCCTTTAAGAAAAGCTTTTAAAATATTTAATTGTATACTAAATTTGCCAACAAGATTAGGTTCTGGTAAGACCAAGTCTGGATTATCTACCTTCTAGCATATTTTACTTCAACACTGGCTATGATTATCAAATAAATGTTCTACTATAATATCATAATGCATTTGATGTAAGTCTTTATCTGTAATTAGTGGGTAATTATTATCACTAGCACAAATACAAGCAGCATATACAGCTCGAGTGTAAAAGTTCATTATTAGT